GTCTTTTTACTAATAAGATTTGAAAGTCTATAAATGGGTCAAATGTGGTTATGTGAATTTGAATAATTATTATCCAAATGCAAATATTAATTGGTAGTATTTATACCAATTAAAATTATAATAATTTATTTCATTAAAATAAAGTTTATTAATATTCATGAATTTTCAAAAAAATTTTATACTCAAAGGCCCTGATTTGTGCAGAATGTGCAAGATGTTATAACACTTTGTATGTGTGTGATCACAACACTTATTTTCTTCAGGTAATTTTTGATAACATTCTCTACAGTACTTGCATGCATTTTTGGTATTCTTACTGCCTGACAGTGAGACATAGGAATTATCTGATGATGAACATCTTGCAGAGATTTTGCTCTCCTATATATAGTTTCTGTCCTTTCCAGACCAGTAAAATTATTGTTAGTATTGTCTGGATAGTTTCTGTGTTTTTGTTTCTCTAGCATTTTGCATCTGAGAAGTAATATTTAATACTGAATAGGAAATACTAATGACTTAGTAGTGAACATTTGTATTCTGAGTTAAACAGTTCAGAAGACCAATGACGGTAATTTTCTAAATAGAGGCAGGTATGTATTAAAACTGGTCTAGCTATGTGGTATAAGTCCTAGTGGTTTGTCCTAAAGTAAAGCTGGAATTTCTCCAAGTAAAAGGAATTCCAACTCCAAGTAGAAGGAATTGGAAATATGGTGGATTTGTTGGTTGCATTGTAGCACTTGTGTGAGATCTCAAGTCTATGTGAATGATTAATTAGCTAAAGGTACCCTGATTTTTCAGAGTGATGTAAATGTACGTGGGTTGCTTACTCTACAGATGACTGTAAAAAAGACACTGTCCAATTTCCGAAGGACACACCATGACAACTGGCAGGAACACAAACAGCAGTTCACTGATGACCAACTGCTTGTCCTCACTGATCTCCTTGTGTCACCGTGCTATTATGCATAGGAGGGTGAGTCAACAAAGTTGTAGATTTAAAAACGTGACATCCTCAGGAAAGTATCATTTGTTTGGTGACTGAAAAGTGGGCATTTTTAAAATTTTGCTGACATTCTCAGCTGTGACTGCTTACATAAAGGGCTGGTATTTGTCTTTAACATGGCTTTATTTGAAGCTGGGGATGTATCTCAGTGGTAAAATATGTACTTCACCTGAATGAGGCCTCTGGGTTCAACCAAAGCAAACAGACATGACCTTTGCCTTGGATACTGGAATAAGTGTCCACATTAAGCAGAGAGTCGGTGTGATTGTTTTGGGACTTTTAAAAATGAGTAATGGCAGTAACCTAAAATGAGTAATTGTCTCTTGGGAGGAGTCTGGACATTTAGGGTCAGCCTGGGCACATTTGTCTGCTTCTTTAAGTACTTATCACTCATTCTTTAAAGAGACCCAGAGAGTGGGGTTAGAGCTCCCCAGCGTAGCACCTTCCTGGCAAGCCCAAGGTCCTGAGTTCAATTTCTGTATGAGAGAGAGAGAGAGAGAGAGAGAGAGAGAGAGAGAGAGAGAAAAGAAGGACCCAGAAGCCTTTTACTGGGACAGAAAAATAAGGGAAACCTCATTGTTTAGGTTTGTAGTTGGGTATCTTGTTACTGAATAGTTATGTTTTCCTCCCTGATACAGATGGCTTGTCCTCAGTTCCAGCTCCTCAGGTACCATCTGCGGTGGCTCTCTGCAGGCTTTAAAACTGCCTCTTCTGAGCTCTCATCGATTCGGTGGTTTCTGTGTTTGGTCACATTGATTGGTCTGCGTTCTACAGATTCTCAGCTGCCATTTGATTTCCTAACTTGTTCAGAAGTGTTTCTAACTTTCTCTTTGAAGCATCTGACAAAGTCTCAGACCAGAAGTAAATTTCCCAGTATGATCATGGCATCCAAGACCACCAGGAGTCTAGGAATTCATTAAGAAACAGTTTTCTTAGAATGGAGACTATCTACCAGTCATACAGGTCCTGTCATTTCATTCATCTCAAATTACTTTGATTTCTTCCTGAATTACTGTTGGGTTTCGATGATATTAGGTCAGTGGGCCACAGATCTGATGCCTGGAGAGCCATGAAGGGGAGAAGGAGAAGAGGCCCAGTCACGGTCTACCCAGCAGCCTGATGACTGCTCGGCAGCTCGCAGTGAAGTCTGCGTGCTCTTCATGGACAGGACTTGGTGCTGAACAGAGCCAGCTGCGGGAGAGCCAGGGATTTGGCAGATTAATTTTTGGTTGTTGTGTATGTATACAACGTGTGATTTTTTTTTTTTTTGAGAATAAATGACAACAATAAACACCCTAATTGGTTTTTACCTGTATTCTTTACAAATATTGTTTGACCCTCTTTGAAAATATTACACTTCACCAAAATGAAAACCTGCTGTATTTGTGAAAATTCTGTAATTTCTTTCTCTGTTTAATTTTTTAAATTTTTGCCTGCAGAGTCGTTGAGAAACTAATAAGGCTTGGTGTTTAATTGACTTGCTTACTATCTGTTACATAGATGTAAAAGATTGTATAAACTGTAGAGGTAGCATTGCAGGACTTTGTACAGATGCAGCCCTTGACACGCCACCATTGTGTAATTAATTTGTAAAGATTCAGATGGAGCTCTTTATTATAGTGATTTGGGGCTTTTATACCCATTGAATGCCATTTTTTTGTTTTTAAATTATTTTCTTTATCATTTCATGTTATAAAATCAAAATGAGGGATTTTTTAGTTCATTTATCATTAGAATATCTGAATTTTTATGTAACTTTTTGTGTGTATCTCTAAATGCTAACGCATTTGCCTATGACAGATTTATAGAATGCAAGGTTATTTGCTAGGTTGAAATAATTTACAAGTTGCAGCACACCCTGTACAGTCTTCCTTAAAGGAACACTAGTTATCCTTTAGTGTCTACCTGCCGGATGACTCGCCTAAGCACAGCAGAGGGCCTGGGACAGTATTTAAGTGTCAGCATACACAAGCGGAATTCCTGTATAGAGTAGTGCCAAACTAATTATCTCAATTGTGTAACTAGTTTAAATCCAATAAATGGATTGTTTTTAACACTTGGCTTCTGTCTTCATTAAGAGGAGAAGATGGTTCTGCAGAGACTCCCACAGATTATACAGTTTGTAGGTTGGAGTCTGTAAATCATTGTCTCTGACCAAAACAAATTATCTAGATATGCCCTGTTCGTGTAGTAGCTGCCAGTCACAAAGGATTGTTTACTTGTTGGTTTTGGTTATGTTTTGGTTTGGTTTTTTGTCTTTTTAAGGGAGAGTGTTGCTCTATAGTTCAAGCTGGCCTTAGCTCACACTGTGTAGCCCAGCTGGAAGGCAGTCTTCCTGCCTCAACCTCCTGAGTGCTGAGTTGTGCACCCCACACCTAGTGTAACTATTTACATTTAATTAAGATATTCATTTCATCCATCTAGCTAGCCAGAGTGCTCGTTAGCCACATTGGCTAGTTGTTGCCATGGTGAGTAGCACACACAAACTTTTCATTATCATAGAGAGCTCTTTGGCTAATACTGGCCTAGACAATTGATTTTCAAAGTGATTAAGAATCATAGAGATTTTGTTAAAATGTCAGTTCTTATTCATTGTTTACAGCTCATCGTATCAATGTCTGGCCCTAAGACCATACTTTTTAAGTGGTGAGGTCTTACATTGCATAATGATCCCTTTAACTTTTCTTAAGAAACTCCTTAGCAGTGGTTCGTCAGTGGGAATTTTAAACATATGTATTGGGCATGCCTCTGTGTTCCTTAAAAAAATATCCTCAGGATGGCCCTTAGGCATCACTGTCTTAAAGCTTTTAACGTTCAGTTATGTGTCCAAGATTGAGAAACACTGGTAAGGACTTGTAATTCCACTGTAGACTTAAAAACAGGTCACTTTATATGAATGCTGAACATACTGCCCATTCACTCGGATACTAAGTTTGGCTTATTACCTTGATGTTGCCCCAAAATGCATTGTCAGTTGTGGAATTAAAGTTTCCATCAGTAGTCTCAGGAATGAAAGAAAGAGAGGGAAGACTTGGGTTGTAATCACCTTTCCTATGGCCAGATGATTGGAGATGAGCTGGCATTTAGGCCATGGATAGTTCATATTGAGGCATAATTTTGATCAGATTTTCACTCAGTGCTAATTTCATGCTGTGTTAATGAGTCTTTTTTTTTCTGCTGGTTGTTTCTAGGATCTAAAGTCACTATTACTAACAACATACATTAGGATTGCTATATTCCAAGTGTTGGAGGAGTGGTGGTTGTGTGGAAATTGGAAAAAAAGTTACTGATGTCATTTCTAAACAGGATTCTGATAGCATAGTCCAACATTGTACTAAGTGCCTACTTTACCAGTTATCCAGCCATTCTGTTTATTGACAAAAGCAACAGGGAACTGGTAAAGAGAAAGAAAGCATTAATTAAACTACTGTGTGTTGGCTGTTTTCATAATGCCTCAGCCAAGATGGAGATTGCATAGTAACATTCCCACTGTTTCATCTGAATGGAATCAGCCTTCCTCCTCTGAAGGGGAAGGAAAAGACGCTGACACAGCATCTCTGAGGAGTAAGAAAAGCAGTAGGAGGCCTGGAATCCCGGAGACCGGGAGACCTAGGCTTTAGCTCAGTGGCACAAGGCTTATCTGGTAAGTGCCAGGTCAGGAGTTTGATGCCCAGCACCACCAAAAAAAAAAAAAAAAGCCAGTTAGCCTGGGTGGGATCCTTATGAGAGTTTAGCTTTATTTTACCCATAATAGCAAACATAGTTGGGCACATTACACTACAATTTAACCGATTTTTGAATTTGTTTTGGACAAGTGTAGAATTCAGAAAAATGAGAGGAGGGTGTGTGTGGTGTGACTTTTTTACTAAAGCCCAATTGGATACATGGCCCAGTTGCCTTTTAGAATTTCTTTTGTATTCACAGTATTAAAATTTAGTACCCATGATTCCTTGGCTTGGTTATGTTATTCTTACGATTTCTTTTTACTTTGCATTTTTCCCTAGGCGTTGCTCTGCTAAGAGCTCCTTCAGTAAATTCACTAATACCTTAAGACACCCAGGCCAATTAGCTTAAATTGTTTTAACAGCTTGATTGATAAATTGTCATGAAGTTCCAAACGGGGCGATGAAGCCAATTAATTAGGAGAGAAGTGGTGCCCGCAGCCGCGGAGGCCGCCCCCTCCTGGCCACGCGCCCCTCCCGTCTCGCTCGGCCCGCCTCGGTGCAGGCGGCCCCAGGGCCCGGCGAGGGCAGAGCCGGCCAGGCCGAGCTGAGCGCAGGAGCCGGCGGGGGCGGCTGCGTGTCGGCGATGCGGCTGGCCGGGCCCGGGATGCGCCCAGGCGGCGGCGGCGGCGGCGGCGCAGGCAATGGCGAGGCCTGCAGCCCTGCGTCCTCCGGGAAGACGGGCCGAAGGTCCCGGCTGCATCGCGGAGGAGGACGGGCGCCGGGACGGGCGCCGCGGCCTGGGCAGGTGAGAGGCTGAGGACGGGGGACCCCGCGGGCCGGAAGGGGGTACGGTGGGGGGACCCCGCGGACGTGGGGGGGGGCACGGCCCACGATGACAGCGAGCCGCGGGGACAGCAGGAGGGACCCGGCGAGGGAGACCCCGCGGGGACGGGGTGGGGGGGACCCCACCGCTGCTGCGGCTGCCCACAGGCCCCCTCCACGGCCGCCCTGGCGCTCCTCTCCAGCCCGGGGAACCCGCGCAGGCTCCACTTGCCCTCCGCGGCCCGCGCCCGTCTCCAGGCCTGGGCGCTCCACAGCACCCCGTCCTTCCCAGCTAGTGACCCCCGGCCTTTGCTAGGTAGTTTGACATCTCTGTGACCTTGGGCAAGTTATCTAACCTCCTTGAGGTTTTCCTAATTAATACAAAGACAATGGGAATGGCGATAGGGCACAGAGGCCGGGGCTAGACACTGAAAATGCCTGCTTTGAGGAAACCTGAGCGTAATAGGGAAAACAATAGTTGGAAGAATCCAGGTCTTGGATTGACTGGTAAAGATGTTTACCCATATATTTACAGAAAGATTAAAACACGGTATCAAGGGCTCTTCACATAGGAAACAATCATTGGGGTGTAAAATATTTTGGTTTCCTGTTTCTTTTGTGAGTTTCTGCAGGATCCTTCCTTCTCCAAAGTAACTAGATAATATGAATTCTTTCTGCCTTACCACAGCTGATACGGTTTCCTACTTCAAGTTTTTCTGATTCTGTGGCTTTAATTACATCGTTTGGGACCTGTTTATGGGCACAGAGATAAAAGACTTTCCCTCCATTTTTTCTATTGCTTCTAGAGTTTCTCTGCCCTAACCCTGACCCTGACCCTGACCCTGACCCTGACCCTGACCCTGACCCTGACCCTGACCCTGACCCTGACCCTAACCCTAACCCTAACCCTAACCCTAACCCTGACCCTGACTCTTTTCTATTTTGTCTTTTGGTTTTCTCCTCCACCCTCTTCTAAGCTCCCCAGTTCCTTCCTTTTTTTGATTATTCCAGTAGGAATGACTTATAATTACTTTTTACTGAAACTATAATCATCCAAAAAGTCAGAAAAGTATGTGTGTCTAGAAATATGGATAACTCCATAGACAGATAGATGGTAAGTAGATGTGTGTTTATATAGATAGGTTAAAATTTTGTACTCCAGGAACTTGCAGTTGAAAAGGAATTGCAGTACTTACTTTATAGAGTTATTTGAAAATGAAATAAAAATTTGATAAGTTCCATACAGCCTCTATAGTAGAAGGGCATATGACTACCACCCAGTAAGTTATAGCTACTGTCATTAGCCTCCGGCTTGGGTACCCTCTCCTTGACCTCGATGTTGTTTTGGTTAGCTTGGTGGTAAAGAATGTGGGCTTTGGGGGCTGGGGATTTAGCTCAGCGGCATAAGTACCTGCCTTGCAAGCAGGCAGTTGTGAGTTCGATCCCCGGTACCGATAAAAAGTTAAAAAAAAAAAGAATGTGGGCTTTGAAGAGAAACTTCTTAGGTCAGATCTAAGCTCTACCATTTTATGAAATTAGCTCTCTAATGGCTTCTCCATCTACAAAATGTAGATCTTACACTGTGCTCTGAGTATTCAATAAGTTAATAGTGTAGAACCATGGAAACTGCTAATGATAATAGTGGTGAGTATATTACCATTATTTTGACCTAAAATTGTTTACTTTTTGGGTTTTGTTTTGTTTGTTTGGGTGTTTTTGTTTTTTGAAACAGGATCTCACTATGTAGTTTGGGCTGGCCTTGAACTCACTACGTAGCCCAGGCTGGCCTCAAACTCAACCATCCTCCCGCCTCAGCCCCTCTAAGTGATGAAGTTACAGGCATGCCACCACATCTGACTTAGAATTCTTCACTTTTAAAATGTATTGAAATTTTAAAGTTTATTGAAAAAAATATATGATTGTACACAGGAAATTTGCCCCTCACTGCCTCTAAATTCTGTGCTTCTCTCATTCATGACAGATGTCCTTGACTGCTCCTTTTGGATTATCTCCAGACCGTGGGTCTTCTTCCTAATTTCTGCCATTCTACTTCACTATTTCCCATTTTCTCTTTATTTTTCTCCTGATTCTCTCCCACAGAACATTTTTAAAGGAAAGTGCAAAATAGTTGGTCTCAATTTCCAGGGGAGAAATTCACTATGTTGTCCTGATCTGTGTCATGTGACCATTCAGTGGCAGCTGTCTTCTGCCCTGATGAAGGATAACAGCTGTCTGAATCTCTTTCTCAGGACTGATACTTGTCTGACCCACTTGCCGAGAAACTTTGTTCCTGATAATCCATCTACAACCATTGCTTGGGGTCCCAGAACCCCCTTACTGAGTTGGCCTATTATGTGTTCCTTTGATCCAACAACTAACGGGTGACAGCCACAGGCTGGTGGGATCTGGCTTGAATTAGTGGTCAGATATTCTGAATGTCAGCCCCAGACTGCCCCGCTGCCACTGGTTGTTCCATAAATGTTGGATCAAAGCAAATGCTTTTCAGCTGTCGAGAGCATAGGCCTGAATAAACGTGGTCTGTTGTGCGGGCAGCATCTTTGGGAGCAGGATGGACACCAAGTCACCCAGGTCTTTGGGATTTGGGATTTATATGAGTGTAAATTAGATTTTATTGCATAATCCAGGGAAAGCAGGTTTAAAAAAAAACAAGAAAGAGCAGGAAGTTTGTTCTTTGAAAGTATTGGTTTTGTTACTTACCTTTGTACCTTGAGCATTTAGCACAAGTGTGCATATAACTAATGCAAGTAGAAGGAGGAAATGGGGGTTGAGTATGTGCCTCTTGCTTCCTCACAAGGATGTTTCTGTTGGAATGATAGAAGCTCAAATCTCCTTCTTTAGTGTTTACAGAGTGATTTCTCTTCTCTTCTTTTTTTTTTTTTTTTTTTTCTTTGCATATCCCTATTACGTCAACCCCACTATCCCCCGAAAATGAACCCAGGGCCACAGGGATGCTAGGCAACCCTCTACCACTGAACCACACCCTTAGTTCCTAAAACAGAGCTTTGCATCTTGTGAATTTCAAATATAATTCCAAGCACCCTTTACTATTTTGATTTTTACCTTCCTAAGTGCAGGCTTTCAGTGTTTCTTCCAAGGGGAGAGATACAATTAGCCAAAGAATCTCAAGCTGGGAGGAGAAACACTGGGAAATAAAAGATTGCCCCCAAGTGTTATGGCTTGTGTCTAGATATCCCCCAAAGTGTCCTGTGGCCGTAGGTGGGGCTTTTCAGAAGCCACTGAATTTAGAGTGTTTGATGCTGGGATTATGTATGTGATGCTGGGAACAAGGCTGTGTGATTATTAAAATCGTCTACCGATTGGCCTGGCCTGGTTCTGGGTGTTAGTGCTACCCTAAAGCCAGCTGGCCTGGATAGAAGATGAGGGACAGAAAGAAGGCTTCTTGTTGCTTGCTGCTTTGGCTTCGTGTGCGGCCTTGTTTCTGCTGTGAGCTGCTTCTCTGCGATGCCTATCTGTCACACCACCCTCCCTGGGAGTCAACTAACTGTGAGCCGAAACCTCTACAAACTGTGAGCCACAGTAAACCTTTCCTCTTTTAACTTTGAGTATCTGGTATTTTTTCCCAGCAACAAGAAAAGAAACTAAGACACTAGGCAAAGAAATAGGGTTATTGGTGATTTATAGGAGCAATACTCAGCTCCTTGTGCTGGTCCACCTGCTGCTGCTTACTCAGTGCCTCAGAGGATCCTCTCTCCTCTCAGCCGCTCCCTCCTGCACCTCTCCCTCCTGTCACCTCGCTGGCTTTCCTCTCCCTGCTCCTCCCTCGTTGGATCTGGTTCACCTCTTCCTCCCTTTATCGCACCCAGCATCTGCATTAGACTGCAGACACACAGATTCATCTCCAATTAGATTGTGATATGTGATTTCCAATGCATATCACAGAAACATTTCTAAAAGAAACATCTGTACACACTCATTCAGAATCTCCAGGGTTAAAGCCTAGGATTCAGCCCTGCTGGAGATATTTAAACTTTTTAACATGGTTTGAAATTTCTACATCATAGAACTAAAAATTAGTTGAATAATCAAGTTGTGAAGTGTTTATATTATTAGTATGTGTGTGTTAAACTTTGTGAGAAGATGGTTCCGTATACCTGGGCATAGCTGAAAAATTCTAATGTTTTCATTAAAAAATAATGAGATCACTATGCTTATACCTTTGTTTCAACACTGACCCCTTTCTGTTGCTGGCTGTGCATTTCTGTGTGCAGGCTTATCTGCTCTGGGCCTCTCTCAACGTGTGTTGCTCATCTGTGAGTTGAGGCACTGACTCCCTTCCCACTGGGTATTTTTGGAGAACAGCAGGAAGAGAGATTTCTCTCTGAAGATGAACTCAACAGACCCCTTTCAGGATGTGCCCAACACCACCGCCTCGCAGGCACCGCACTTGCAGGGAGGCAACAGCACAGCTGTCCGGGAGGAGCTCCAGGACCTCATCCACACAGCCACTCTGGGGACCTGCACGCTTCTGCTTGCCGTTATCTTCTGCCTGGGCTCCTACGGTAACTTCATTGTCTTCTTGTCCTTCTTTGATCCAACTTTCAGGAAATTCAGAACCAACTTTGACTTCCTAATTCTCAATCTGTCCTTCTGTGATCTCTTCATTTGTGGGGTGACAGCCCCCATGTTCACCTTTGTGCTGTTTGTCAGCTCAGCCAGGGCCATTCCTGATGCCTTCTGCTCTACCTTCCACCTCACCAGCTCAGGCTTCATCATCATGTCCCTCAAGACAGTGGCAGTGATTGCCCTGCACCGGCTCCGGATGGTGCTGGGGAGGCAACCTGACCGCACAGCCTCCCTTCCCTGCACCTTGGTCCTCACTCTGCTACTCTGGGCCACCAGTTTCACGCTTGCCACCTTGGCGACCCTGAAAACCAGTAAGTCCCACCTCTGCCTGCCCATGTCCAGCCTGATGGCGAGAGAAGGGCGAGCTATCCTTTCTCTCTACGTGGTTGACTTCACCTTCTGTGTTACTGTGGTGTCTGTATCTTATATCATGATTGCTCAGACCTTGCGGAAGAATGCGCAAGTTAGAAAGTGTCCCCCCATCGCCACCATGGATGCTTCCAGGCTGCAGCCTTTCATGCGTGGCCCTGTGAAGGTGGATGGAGACGCCCTCCAGTGTACCATGCCGGCTCTATACCGGAACCAGACTTACAACAAACTGCAGCACGTTCAGACTCATGGGTACAGCAAGAGCCCCAAACAGCTGCGAACCCCTGCAGCCAGCCGGCTCCAGCTGGTCTCAGCCATCAACCTGTCCACTGCCAAGGATTCCAAAGCCGTGGTCACCTGCGTGATCATAGTGCTGTCCGTCCTGGTGTGCTGTCTTCCGCTGGGGATTGCCTTGGTGCAGGTGGTTCTGTCCAGCAATGGGAGTTTCATCCTTTACCAGTTTGAACTGCTTGGATTTACCCTTATATTTTTAAAATCAGGGTTAAACCCTTTTATATATTCTCGGAACAGTGCAGGGCTAAGAAGGAAAGTGCTCTGGTGCCTGCAGTACATGGGTTTGGCTCTTTTCTGCTGCAAACAAAAGACTCGACTACGAGCAGTGGGTAAAGGGAACCTTGAAATCAACAGAAACAAATCTTCCCATCATGAAACAAACTCTGCCTATATGTTATCTCCAAAGCCACAGAAGAAATTTGTGGACCAGGCTTGTGGCCCAAGTCATTCAAAGGAAAGTGTGGCAAGTCCCAGGGTCTCAGCTGGACATCAACACTGTGGTCAGAGTAGCTCAACACCCATCAACACTCGGATCGAACCATACTACAGCATCTACAACAGCAGCCCTTCCCAGGAGGAGAGCAGCCCGCAAAACTTACAGCCAGTCAACTCCTTTGCATTTGCCAATTCATACATCGCCATGCAGTATCACACCACTAGTGATTTAATACAGGAGTACGATAGCACCTCGGCCAAGCAGATTCCGATCCCCTCTGTCTAAAGTCATGGAAGCTGAAGAGTCTTGCATAATTGGTTTTTATTTCTAATACCAATTGAATATTAAAAAGTTTTTGAGATCAGCAGCAGATCACTGCTTAAAAATTCAGCTAAAGATTTGGCAGATCAAGATTTTTTTGTCTAAAGTATTGGTCTTGATTTGCTTTATAATTTCTTGACATTTTTAGATTATTTAAATTTTCACCCTGACTTATCACCCAGTCTTTTGTATTGAACCTTTAAATCGATGCTAGAAATGAACACTATGACAAGCAGTCCATTGAGGGAGCATTATGAGTCTTCAGAGTAAATACTGGCTGGATTCTTAGTTTTGAGAGTCTTTATGGGTGAGTGGTTTGTGTTGTTTTGTTTGGTGCTTGGGATTGAACCTCAAGCCTCATGCATGCTAAGCATGCGCTTTGCCACTGAACTACACCCCCTCAGCTCTGGCCAGATTTTTAAAAAAGAATTTTAAGGTTTGGTTTTTGCTAGGATGTTATTTTTATAAAACTGTAAAATTTGATTATTTGAGCTACTGAAATAAATAATAATTCACTTTTTTAGTAGCAGATTGATTTGAACAATAATATATTGTTAATCAGAAAACCAGAAATAGATTTCCTACGCTTCTGTTCTTACCCAAAATATTCAAACAGGCGGTATGTATTTTCCTTTAATAAGCAGGCAACCAAGGAAATAGTAGTACAGTATTATGGTTGTGTGCCAGCTTTCCTTTCCTTCTGTTTTTTTCTTTTCTTTTCTTTCTTTTTACAGTACTGGGGATCAAACCCAGAGCTTTATGCATGCTGAGTAAGTGTTCTACAGCTGAGGTACATCTCCAGCCCTGCTGTTTCTTATTAGAGACATTTTTATTTTGTGTCAGTTTATTAAAAGGAAGCTGTTTTTGCTTGTTATGATCTTGGAATGATCTTATCAAGACTCCTAGAGTGGAGGACAGCCTCTGTAGCAGAGGGTTTTATTCTGAAGAGCAGGTGCTATGTGGTCGTCTTAGGAAAGAGTGTTTATAGTTGGGGACTACTGTCATGCATTAAGAAATCTTTATTTTTGTCTAGAAAGGCACAAGATGAGATTGGGAGGATTTTATGTTTTCCTTCTATATGAGGCAAGTTTATTAACTGCTCGACAGTACTTAAATAACTCTCCAGAAATGACTCACTTTTGTGTTTATTTATATATTATTAAGGTAGAAAAATTCCCAAGGTGATCTATATTCAAACTTTTATTTTTCTCCCATAGTCTTAAACTGGAAATAAGCAAAAAGACTAAATATTTCCATACCTGAAACTAATTTTATTATATTGTCTGTGATTTCTAGGGTAACAACCTTGAACTCACATATTCTTAATGTAAAAGTATTTTCATTATCCAGGATTTGAACTCACTAGCATTTTGGAACTATAACTCTTAGACTCAATCATCAAGATACAAAACCTATCTTTATAAACTATGATATCCAAGAATTATTACTGCACATCAAAAGGTACTTTGTTCCTTTGAATGAAAGGCAGTCAGTGCGCAGAGCCCTCCCAGGTTGTGCCCAGCTCTGGAGCCCAGCAGGCCTGAGGAAGACTCTGCGCAGCCTCCCTGGCAGCTCTTACCGTCCAGGCTTCAGCAGTCTTTCTGTTTCTGAAACTTCAGTGTGAGGCGTAGGCTTTATTTTGTTATTAAATTCACCTTGTAAGGCTTTCCTCTGTCCCTCCCTTCAGTCTTTCCCTTTCTTCTTTTATTTTTGCTATTAAATTTTGTAACCAGAGAACATAATCACTGTCTCTCACATTTTTTTGTAATTGAAAGCTGTTTTTGGAAATCACTACTGCCTGTTTCAATTGTGGTTTTGTATTTTTAATATAAGTGTTCTCATTTTTTAATATTCCATTATGGTATATTACTTTCCTTTAATAAAAAATTCAGAAGTATAATACCCTGTCCCACGATCATTCAAAGAATTGTGGCAAATTAAGAATTATACTTTTGCCTTTAATTCAAAACCTAGCATTTATTACAATAAGCCAAACAACTTTATAATTAATAACATTGATCAAGAATATATTTCATACTTTTTAAGATGTATATAAATATATATGTAGATTGATGGCTAGATAGATATTTTTGGACAGGCAATTCAAATGTGATTTAATAAAAAGTTATAACGAAAGTAATTTCTACTTTAAAATTTTACATGTCAGATTTCTTCTGTGACCTTTGAGTCTGAGATGATTTGATCAGCGTGGGGCCCATGTTTGGGAGGTAAAAATTATAGCATAAGAAAACTAAGCATGTACATACACAGTATTAAGTCTCTTTATGCTTGTTAAGAACTTACTGATTTGCATGAAATGCATAGTGGGCTAGGTTGTTAGTTCCCCTCCATATTTACATTTATGTAGACATAACTTGTCTCTTCACAAGTTGTATATGTTTATCTATACATATAGCCACATGGGTATGGCTAGACATATGTAACTTGTTTCTTCATAAGGGCTACAATGAGAACTAAAAGTAATGAGAATTTTGTTGAATGTGATTAATTTGCAGGGTACAATGATTAGTTCTCTGGCTGCTTTACTGTGATGCAAAAGTATGTGATGTCTTTAAAACGTTTTATAATTGTTCTTATGTTAACAGGCCAGATTTGTATTTCTGATGCTTTTAATGTACTTTTAAAATAAAGTTTGGAAAATAAAAATATGGAAAACCCTAACATCTTAAATGTCAGAGTTCAGTGTGATGACTTTCCTATCCAGTTATTTAGCAAACATCAGAGCCTGACAATAATAATTTTTGTGCAATAGATATGTTGAACCTGGAGTGGATGGAGAGAAAGTTATTTTCCTTACAAATAAAATACCTGCAATCTCAGTACTCTGGAAGCCAAGGCACGAGGATTGCGAATTCAAGCTCAGCCTGGGCAACTTAGTGACTTTAAACTCTGTCTCAATATTTAAAAAGGGTGGGGGTAGGGGATGAGGATGTTCCTCAATGCAAAACTCTGGGATCCATAAATTTAAAACTAGAATGATTCGACAACATTCTGTAACATATGCAGAGACTAACTAAGAATAGTTAATTCAAAGGTTTTACTACTAGACTTTTTTTTTTTTTTTTTTTTACCTAATGGGCAGAATCTTATATGACATTTCAATCACTACACACAGATTAACCCAGAAAACTATAGAATACTTGAGAAATTTTAATCAAGAATCATTAACATAAGAAGGAGAGGACTTAATATAGAAGATTAGGTGTCATCGCAATCATTGGCTGGACAGAGCTTTTTGAGCAAGAGTATCCAGGAAAGATTCTAAAACAAATAGTTCCAGCCTCCCATCTGGAAATGCTGGTACTGGGCCACAACCAGGAATGGTGGGGATTAGAAAGCCTTTCTTGGACTTTCGATTTTAAGGACACATTGTTTAAGTTATCATTCATCTACTGTTACTGCCACTGCCTGTACAACAAACCCTCCTGACCCTACAGAGCAAGTGACTGACACCAAAACTCTGCTACTGAAAAGTATAGCTCCTTACATGTTGTTGGCAGAATCCAATTTGCATCTAGGATGTTCGGGGGAATCTGAAAAGTGTAGTTACACTGAACAGCTATACTACAAAATTCAGAATGGATGCTGAGTTCCAGGCCACTCTGTCCACAGTGGCACTTTCCTGCCAGTCCACATTTATGTGGACATCTATAGCCATACTTATAAACTATAGCAATTGCAACACCACCGTTCTCATTTTTATTTAATAATGCAACCAAAACACACTTACACTGCTCTAGAGACAAGATGGAAAGTCAGTCACTTTCACAGCAATATTCATCGCTCTTCTAGTTTAGCCAGTAGATACTCTGTAACCTAAGGACTAAATCGTCATGTTTACCACAGCAAAGACATTTGACATAGGGCAGCTGGGAAGAGCAAAGGGTTTTGGAAACTGGCTGCAATATTTCACACATGAACACACATGTAGAATAGGATAAAGACAAGCTGTGGAAACTGATCGAGACCTCGCTGCTTCTGTTGCTGCCTTAAGAGGCTGTGGTTGGTATTTTCTACCTTACCTCCTCTGCTCCTTGTTTTCTATCCTTTTGCCCTAAGCTAGCATATCAGATAATCTGAGAAAAGTTTTATAAAACAGTGAACAAGTAAAATATGAGAAAAAAATAGGAAATGTCAAGGAGGATTACAGAAGTAAAAACAATAATAGAAATGAAAATGCTTACTTATAAAAGACAAAAAGTCCTCGAAAGCGTAACAGGCAGGGCTAGGAATACAGCTTGGAGATGGCGTGCGCATCGAGGTGAGGCCCGGAATTCAATGCCCAGAAGCACAAAGCAAGCCAAGCCACATGCAGAAGTCAGGTGAAATTTGCTGCTTGGAATAAGCAACAAAATAAACAGTAAATATGAAACGACAGACAATCCTCCAAGGACAAAAAGTGGTAATGGCAAAATTAGTATCAGAGTAACACGGAATGCAAGAGCCATATAGAAGATAACTCAGTTTAATAACAAGAGGAATAGTCAGATAACAAAGTGATAACAGTGTTCGTTCATTCAACAGATACATGTTCAATGCTGTGTGCTGGGAACAGGCGATGTATGGTGAACACAAGAGATGAAACTCTTCCCCCACCACACAGTGCGAGGAAGACACAGAATTTTCAAATCAACAGCAAGTAGTGATGTTCCTTGAAGAAAAAAGAACACTAAAAATCAAGGTGTTATTTTTTTCATAGAGAAATCAGAGAATGTCGCTTAGGAGATAGCTGAGCAGCATTGTAAAGGCAGTAAGGGGTTGAGTCCTGCTAATGTCTGGGACACGTGTGTCACCAGTACAGGTGCAGGGCGGGCAGGTACGTATTTGTCACATTTAAGGAAATGAGCAGACAGAAGCACAAGCTAGGTGAAAGGTGATGAAGAGTGTTTGGGTTTTTCTTCTACAGAGGATGGGATATTGTGGGAGGATTGTGAGCAGAGGCTTAACAAAATGTGTCAAAAGCAACGAGATGCACAAAGCAAAATTTGTCAGAAATGAAATAAATGATCAGAAACACAGTAAAGATCAGACACTAACATCCTGTAAGTCTAGGATGGATGGAGAAAACAATGATGATGCATGCTTGTAATCCCTGCACTTTGGAAGCTGAGGCAGAAAAATCATTTTGAGTCTGAGGCCAGATTGGGCTATGCAATGAATTCAAGGACGGCCTGAACTACATAAGATCCTGCCTCTAAATAAATAAGTAAATAAAACAACAACATAAAACTTTACAGCATATAGTTAGCAAACATTTAGGTGTATGTATGTAATTTTATACATGTGAATAATTTTTTATATTTAGAAAAAGGACTGATTTTACTAGACTTCAAAAGTACAAAACTTTTGTGTACTTGCTGGTGCTGTGCTGCTGAGGTATATCCCCGGTCCTCAAAGAAGCAAGCAAGCAAACAAAACCTCAATGAAATAGAAATGCTAAGGCACTCTCATTCCAGTTTAATAAAAATCAACAGTGGTGCACACGTAAACACAGTTACAAGCTCAAAAACCCAAAATGTGCTGTACTTACTATAACGTGTTCTCTTCCTATAAAATTTGTGTAATTGCCAGTTAAGTTGCAGCCTTGTAACATACCCACCATGCATCCCCTCCCTGCCTCCCTGGTTCCTGTAACTGCTTGTTCTCCTCCTTGGTTCCTTTTATGGGGACAAACATCCTAAGACCCAAACCCCTCCCCTGCAGCTGGCTAGTTTTAAACTCCCTGCAGCCCCTGGCTCTGGTGCACACTTCCCTGGCTGCTTTTCTGGGATAATGTTGCCGCTGAGCTCAGATAATAAGGCACTTTTTAAAAATTTTTTGGAATCCGTCATTTTTCTGCCCTTATCAAACACATACACATCCCAAGGTCATTTGGAATTAAAATACATCTGCTAACTGCCAGTGCCAAAAATAAAACTGAGAATACATTAATATTATTCAAAAGATAACATAAAAATTCTACCTATTATCTTTTCACTAACAGCCTCTGAAGTACAGGACTACAGTTATAGGTGGACACCACCGTACTCACCTAGAGTTGTTTTTTTTTTTTTTTTTTTTTTTTTTTTTTGTCTTTTTCCTTTTTATGGGTACCGGGGATGGAATTCACAACTGCCTGCTTACAAGGCAGGTGTTTATGCCACTGAGCTTAATCTCCAGACCTCTTTTTTGTAATACAAGCATGTAAGACTGTAAAATCTATAAATTTCTCTTGAATAATACCTTTGTGTTATAGATTAAAAACTGATGGTCAACTTAATATCAGCTAAATTAAATCCGTATGGTACTGAGTGTAGCTGGCCCACCGGAGGAAAGTTGTCAGCATAAAGAGTTGTGGAGAAGAGCGAGATGTTGTTGGTAGGGCTCCTAAGTGTGGTCTTTCGAGCTGTTGGGTCTCTTTGGAGGAGCCTGTCATGCTGGCCTCCCTGATATGAATTCAGCCATTAGTATAGGAGGAGCTCGGGATGTTTTGGTGAGAGTGGCTGTGGTTCACTTTGCGGGAGCTCTGGTCCTTACATTGAGTGTCACTTCCTGGATCCAGAGGGGAAGTTGTGTGCTGTTTAATCTCAGGAGAGGTTTGTCACAGTGCACTTTCTCATCGTGGAGGAGCTTGGCATCTCCTTGTTGCTGAGGATAGCTGTGGTACTTTTCAGGGTAGCCCTGGTCCTTCTTCTGAGCATCGCTTCTTGGCTCCATTGTAGAACCCTCAACCTACCAGCACAATTCCTTCACCCTGCTAGCATAGACTTTCTGTTTTTTTTTTTTTTTTTGTCAGTACTGGGGATCAAACTCACGACCACATGCTTGCAAGGCAGGTGCTTATGCTGCTGAGCTAAATCCCCAGCCCAAGCACAGACTTTCTAGCTTCCACTGCTGACCTTTGGGCCTTCCCCATGCAGATCCACAGAACAGACTTGCTGTGGGCTCTGGACCTCCAGCTGGACTTGTGGGAGGCCCTGTTAAGGGCTCCAGGCCTTTGGCTGGACTGCTGCAGGACATCACTGTGGGATCCAGGCCCTCAGCTGAATTTTCTAGGTCTTCGGTGTTGTGCACAGATTTCCTGCACTTTCTTGCATTTTCTGGGTAACTGTTCTCCTTGTAACCCCTGACCACAACCCTTTGTCTCCAACTTACAAGTTATTTTAAACATTTGTTGCCACGTTTTATGCTTAATTTAAGGATTATTCCATGAAAATAAATCCGGTAATGGTTTGTTGTTTTTTATTTCTACAATTGGGATATACATAGTGGTACACTGGCCTCAGGAAAGCTGTCCCTGCACACGGTGTGCCTTGCTGCTTTCCCTGCCGCCTGCCTGCCCCCTTCAATCCTTTCCCGCCTTATTTACAAGGCTTTGTTCCCATTTTCTTTCTTCTATTCTCTTTTTCATCCTTGGCCCTTCCTTTCTCTCCCCGCTTCCCCTTCCCCTTCTCATTTGAATATTTTTCCCCTTTCCCAGTGTCTGCTATACCGTTTAGTGCCTTTTTATACTTTTGGTTTCTCACACCAGAGAAACCATGCAGTATTTAGACATAGGTGTCTGATTTATTTCACTTACGAGTATGATCTCAAGGTGGATCCATTTAGATAGAAATATTTCAAGTTTATCATTCTTTATGGCAGTAATATATATATATATATATACCAAAATGGAGAAGGGTTCCTTTTCCCCCAAAGCCTCACCAGCATTTGTTATTGGTTCCTTTCATGACAATAGCCATTCTTCCAGGGTGAGGTGGAATCTCAGTCTTGATTTAATTTGCATATCTCAAGTGATCAGTGATGTTGAGCATTTTTTCATACATTTATTTGAACTTTCTAGTTCTTCATCTGAGAATGCCCATTCTCAGATGCCCTTTTATTGGATTGGGTATTTATAGTTGTAAGGGCTTGACATTTTTTTTTGTTTTGTGATACTGAGGATCGAACACATGACCTTGCGCTTGCCAAGCAGGCGCATATGCCACGGAGCTAAATCCCCAGCCCTGGAGGTCTGACATTTTGAATTCTTCATATATTCTAGATATTAGAACAACTGGCAATTTTTTTCCCCACACTATGTTGTCTCTTCACTCTGTTGGTGGTTTCCTTTGCCGTGTAAATGTTTTTAATTTTTTAACTTTAAAGAGGATAAAACCATGGAAAATAAAACAGAATAAAATCAATCAAGATAAACCAGAGAAAGTGATACAGGACTTCCAAACCTTATGAAATCAACAGTAGTAACCACAGTGCCTTCTTGTTTATAAAATAGCTGCAGAAAATACCTTCAGACATATTAAAAATCAAACAGAACACAGAATAGAAACAATAAAAACAGCAATGAATGCAGTAAAGGACATCAAAACAAGCCAGTAGTAAATACCTAGTGGCTTCCATAACGTGTCCTGGTATCTTTCAAATACCTGCTCATGTCATCAGAGTTAACCTAAACAAAACAAAAGGAAATAAAACTGAACCCAACAAAACAATGAGAATAATATGGTTTCCTGGTAGGGATCTCCTCCCACGGGGCCTGGCTGTCTCCCTGTGATGGCTCTGACTTACAGAGAGAGCTTGGGTCTGGCTCCCTAAAAGTTTTTTAATGAGGTGAGATCCCAGTTGCTGATTCTTTGTGGCATTTCCTGTAAGATAAGAGTTTTGCTCGTGGTCTTTGCCCACACTGATGTCTTCAAGAGTTCTACAGATTTTATCCTCCAGCAGATTTAGTGTTTTGTTTTGTCTTTTGAGACAAGAGTTTCACTGTGCAGTTCAGGCAGGCCTTGAACTCCCTTTGTAGCCCAGATTGGCCTCAAACTCGCAGCAATATGCCTGCCTCAGGCTCCCAAATGCTGGGATTAGAGGCAGGTAATGATCCTCCTGACTCGGCCTCCCAAGTGCTGTGATTTTTCCCTGTAATAATTTTTTTTTTTTTAGGAGAAAAAGAAAAACAGAAAAAGGGTACAAATTACACAGAATTTCAGAAAAAACAGTAGGAAATGACTAGTTAATAGATTACATATTGTTATCTTAGAAATAGTTGTTCAAGTTACAAAATTAAAGCATATAAAATGGACTTTCAAACAGTGAGACTGCAAACAGTTCTGCTCAATGATCCAACAAAACTCAGTAATATGGTCATCTATCTTATACACTTAAATATACATGCAGTTATATCCTTTAGAGCACTTTCTTTTCCTTTCTTTTGTACAATGGCTGTAATCTTAATTTTCAGTTCTGTGATGATTAATGATGAGCATTTTTTCATACACCAGTTGGCCATTGGTATGTCTTCTTTTGAGAAATGTCCAGTTAAGTACTTGGCCTTTAAAAGATTGAGGTCATAGCCCAAAAAACCAGGGCTGGGGATTTAGCTCAGCGGCATAAGTGCCTGCCTTGCAAACAGGCAGTCGTGAGTTTGATTCCCGGTACCGATAAAAAGGAAAAAGACCAAAAAAAAAAAAAAAAAAAAAAAGCCCAAAAAACCGTTGCCTACACCAATGTGTGGCACTTTCTTCTTTTTAAAATATTTGCATGTTTAAAGAGACTTTCTGTATACATTGCAAATAGTATGACTTCTCTCATATTTTACTGTAATACATAAATTCATTCAAAGGAGGCAGAATACAAGTGCTACACCAACCTCTAGCAGGAATAGAGACTTGTATAGACACTTCTGCTCAGAAGTGGCACATATCAACACTCACATTTCATTGACCAAAACCAGCCACGTGGACAGATGTGACATCAACATGTGAGAAACACCAGCCTTCTCACATTCTGGCTTTGCAAAAGCATTGCAATGATTTAGATTGTATAAATCTTTCCCAGGATATAGCAGCAACTTTGGAATGAGAACACAATTATTATTTCTGTTATTTGTATTTAAGTATTTTTAATTTGCATTACAGTTTTCATTTTTATTTGTTTGTTTGTTTTTGTTTTTTGGTACTGGAAATTGAAGTCACAACCTTGCACTTGCCAGGCAGGTGTTTAAATCCCTAGCCCCTACATTATGGTTTTTAGAGACCCAAATTATTTAGAAGTGAGTCTCTTATTTTCCAAAAATCTATCTTTTAGTAACTGACTTCTAACTTACTAACACTGTGATAAGACAGTGTAATTAATATGAAACTACCCTTTGAAAATTGCGATTTGCTGTTTGTTCTGTGCCTAGCTTATACAAATGGCCCTGGAACGATGGCTTTCTTATTTGCCATATCCAGGCTCTCTATCCACCACTGTCCCTCTACCTTATTTTATTCTCTCAGACTTCTTCTCATTTCCTGATATTTTATTACTGAATTAGTCTGCTCTGACTGCAAAACATAGTACTACAAATGAGGTGGCTTGAACAGCATACATTTATTTTCTCACGATTTTAGAAGTCCAGCTTCAGACTGCTGTCAGGGCTGGCTTTGAGGAGGCCATTGTTCTGAGGCTTTGGAAAACAGTGGCCCATAAGGCACGAGAAGAGAAGCTGGCTGGTCGGTGTCTCTCTGTACAGTGGCATTCATGCAATCGGGAGGACGCTGCCCCGTGACCTCGTTTAACTTTACTTCCCTTCTTAAGGACCTTGTCTCCAGACACAGTCACACTAAGGGTTGGGGCCTTGACATATGCATTTAAGGGAACAGACTGTCCGTGGTCTGTAAAAAATGATGGGGTGTCTCTCCACCAGGATACAACTCTGCAAGTGCAGATCTCATCTATTTTGTGCAGTATTTTACTCCTAGTACCTATCAGTCCTTGACCTTCCAAGGCTTTCAGGGATGAGTGTTGGATAAATAAATCAAACAGCTAATAAATGAGCGAAGCCTGGAGGTGATATCAACCCAACATGGTATCTGTCTGACTTGTAATTTCTCCAAGTACGCTAGCTTTTCGTAGACCTTTATTTTCCCAGGATCAGTCAGTAGGACTGATTAAAAGCACCCATGCCCTGTTTCGAGGCTGCTGCTCAGCTCTGAAGCATCTTGTCCCAAGGGACAACCCCTGGCTGCCTGACGACCCACATTGATTCTCACTGGACTGCTCGCTCATGATGCTGCCTGAAGCCACTGAAAACAAATAAAACCCTCCTCAACTTCAGAGAAATTAAAGGAGAAAAGGGATAACTGGCTGCTGGAGGGTGTGCAGAGAAGACAGCAGTTACTGTAAAGTGTGTGACAGTTGAATAACTGTGGGGATGTAGGGAAATTTTACTCTTTATAGTTAACAGGCAATCTCCTTGGACCTGATGCCTTTGAAATTTGAAAATAAAAATCTCTTGATTACTTTTAGGCATATTAGTTGGTTTTCCCTACCCCATTCAATAAACAGATATTATGGTTTTTTAAATAAATATATCTATCTGGTGCTACTATAATTGAGTGTGTTTCTCAGAGTTTCACCAAGTGAGAGTTTGCCCTGTTGACATTCTCCGGATCCTTTAGCTGCCTGTGGCATGCTGATGAGTGCGGGATCTTTCAATGGGCTCTCAGGGTAGGCATCTTGATTTCCACGCAAAGCCTGATGCTTTGCAGGACACAGCTTGTTCAGATGCCAGAGAGACCTTGTAAAGTTGAGCCACTCACAAATGGTGTTTTATGCCCATGTTCTGGGGCAGAGGCACGAGGAAAGTTTTCACAACATGGTAAATGCTTCAGAATATCTCAACTAAGCTTCTGTAAATAGGGAAGGGAAGGTAGGGGATGGGGAAAATGAATCAAGGTATTATCATGTACAGGTACAAGTTCCCTAGGAAAAGCGTGATCATTATATATAGCCAAAATGTACTGATAAGCTTAATTAAAAATAAGAGTGTGTCACAGTAGCAAGGGCTTGTAAAGGCTTCTTGACTGTGTGTTTGGCTTAAAGAACCACACATGTTAAAGAAATTGTAAAAAAAAAGAAAAAAAAAGAAATTGTACAATACTAAATTTATTAATATGATTCTGAGAAAAGATAACAGGAAGTTGTGCTTTTTACAGAGAAGTGTTTTGAGGAGTTCAGTACTTTAGAAGTGGAATAATTTCAGTTCACGAACACAGCACATTTAATGGAGGGAGGAGATACACTATCCTCTTGTCAGGGATGAGAAATAACACACACAGCACTCGGTCCAGGACAGCTGGAGATCAGCGCAGCGGGAGCGTGCTTGGCCCGCCCGTACCAGGCCCGTCCTCGGCTCCCCAGAAAAGGGCTTGTGGAGTCATCATAAAGCAATGTAAGATGGCAGACTGAAGAAATGAATAAAAATTTACCTTTTATTTTCTTTGTCAAACGTTTTAAAACTGGAGAAAACAATTTTTTTCTCAGTACACTGAACACTACAAAACTAGGAGTGCTAGAGAAAACCGGCGTCTCTGGGGACGATTTTTGTAAAGGTAAGAGGACGAAGAGTCATTCATTGATTTAGCAAGTATTTGTTGAGCCTTATTCTTATTTAATATGTGAGAAAAACCAAGAACAAAATGCATTCTTTACTCCTAAACAGAAAACATAAATGAAAGATAAAGGAGCAATTGTTTTATCACTTAAACTGTAACCACAATCTGAACGTTGATGAATTACAACTGTACTTGATTTGTTTTATTTTATTTTTTGTCTTTTTCATTTTTATCAGTACTGGGGATCAAACTTACAACCACCTGCTTGCAAGGCAGGTGCTTATGCCACTGAGCTAAATCCCCAGCCCTTGTACTTGATTTGTTTACTGTCACTAAGTATTGTCAATGAAAGGAGGCTTTGATGGCCTTTAATCATTACAAAATACTCACGGTGACTTTTTTGAAAAAATAAAATTAAAAATTATTTATAATTGTTGCTGGTTGTGTAATACTTCAGTGTATAGGTGTACTCAAATATATTGAAGATTTTTTTTTTAGTCTTTTTCGGTACCAGGGATTGAACTCATGACTGCCTGCTTGCAAGGCAGGTGCTTATGCCACTGAGCTAAATCCCCAGCCCCTATACTGAAGCTTTTAAAATGTGCAGTTAGGTCTTTCCTTCCTTCCTTTTGGTAATGCTGCTATGAATATCTTGGAACCAAACTTTTATTCATACAAAAATGTCCAAGGATTCCTGGAAAGAGAATTACCAGATACAAATGAGTTATCATAACTAAAACTGATGTTAAGGTAGCTGTTTTTCAGGAATATCCAATTATATGAGTATCCAGTGATGTGTGAAAGTACTTAACAAAATATTTTACCTCATTTGTCAGATTACAGTAGGGCCCTTAAAAACACAAAGTAACTATTTGCCAGAAACTCATTTTGATAGGTAAAATAAAGACAGCATTTTGACTGTAACCTGTGTTTCTCTGATTACTAATGAAATTCACTTTCAAAACTCTACTTATTTTTTTGGTACCAGGGATCGAACTCACAACCTCACGCTTGCCAGGTAGGCACTTGTGCTGCTGAGCTAAATCCCCAGCTCCTAAAACTATAGTTTAGTTGTCTTAGTTCCTTTTCTTTTGCTCCTAAGATAAAAATTCCAGCGCCTAAAATGAAGGATGGAAAGGTTTATTTAACTCAGTCTGTAGAGGTTTCCGTCACATGGCACAGGGGCAACACTTCAAGGTGGCAGAAGACAGCAAAGCAATCAGAGCACAAGTGTATGGGGGAAGGGAACAGCAAGCCTGGGGTAAACAGGCCGCCCCACACTTCCCGGTAGATGGCGCTCTCACCCCATCTCCATGCCCTCCTCTTGCACTGGCTCAGAGTGAAGACCCTGACCCCTGCTGAGTCACTTAAACTTCTAAACTACTCAAGTTGACACAAAGTATCAACTATTGCAGTGGTTTTCCTTTTATGTTTAATAAGTAGTCAAGACTGTTTTATTACTATACTGAGATTTTTAAAATTTTCTAGGTTAAATGTTATTCATGCTAATGAATTTTCACTTGCCAGGTTAATGAATTGCACCTTAACAAAAGTTAGTAGAAAAAAGAAATGCTATATATTGCTTTACATAGGAATATTTTTTCTTAAATTCAAGGCAAATTACAATGTATTCTACTGAAAAATATTAGAAATCAATTTAATGATCTTGAAAAATATATTTCATGTGCAAACAGATGTGTGATAATTGACGCTATTCCACAATCTCAGGTGTCTTTGGTACTCAGCTGCTTAGCATTTCCAGTGGTTGTTTGACTTACTTGTTTTTGGTGGCCACTTTTTGTTTTAGGTATAAAGCATAGTTACGAATACATGTGCATGAAAAACATGACAAGATTTATTTTCCATTTCTTAATAATTTTGACCTTTAGTCCAAGAATTTAGCTCAGTGGAAAAGCACCTGCCTAGTAAGTGCAACGTTGTGAGTTTGATTCCTGATATCAAAAAAATTTTTTGACCTGTTTTGTAAGTTTTGAGGTTATCAGGCCTACCTTTATTTTCTCTAAGGTGTTAGAGTTGGAGTCCAGTAGTCTTCAAAATATAGATTCTTTTGAGTGCTTCCCAGTAAAATATGCTCATTCTTTCCCACAACTGTAAAAAAGGGATCAGTATAGTTTGTATGTTGTTTTGTCTTTTTTGAGACAGAGTCTTGTTGTATAGTTAGGCTGGCCTCAAATGCGTAGCAATCTTAGTACAGGGATTGTAGGTGTGTGCCACCATGGTCAGCTGCTATGTTATTTCTTTTCTTTCTTTTTTTTTTTTTTTTTTATTTTTCCTTTTTATCGGTACCAGAGATCTAACTCACGACTGCCTGCTTGAAGGCAGGCACTTATGCCGCTGAGCTAAACCTCCAGCCCTGTACTAGGTTATTTCTAATAGAGAAGTCTTTTGTGATACTAGAACCTTAGTGATTAGTCACAGTTTGTGAAAGTAATTTTCTTCGGGTGATTTTTCAGGGGTGTTACTATGTAGGTCAGGCTGACCTTGAGCTCATTACGGAGTTCAGGCTAGCCTCAAACCCTCAGCAGTCCTCCTGCCTCAGCCTCCTAAATGCTGAAATTATAGAAGTGAACCACCCAGTTTCATTGTGCAAACAACCTTTTAACACTTACAGCACAGTTCTGATTGCTTACCTACCTAATAATGTGTGGTCTTGCTGCTAATATGTAAAGTGACAATTCTATTATCTGAAAGTTGTGATGGATATTAGTCTAGCTAATCTATAATGCTGTTATATGAGAGTGAGGCATAAAGGAAGGTGTTTCCACCGATTTCTCTACACATGTACCTCTCACACTTCTGTTTCTGACATGAGACCTTCTGATTTATGAATGACCAAATACATTGGTATTAGTTCATATATTAAATCTTAGTGAGGTTTAATACTTAAGAGGAAAAATGAGGATTTCTTATAGCTTCTCACAACTCTGATCGTCTTTTGTTAGTATACAGCCTGCTTTTCACATACCTGGTCTGTAAGATGAAGATACCCTTATAGTATAGCAGTCTGTGGTTTCTAAGTCACCTCTACCAAGTAAATAAAAACAAGAAAGAAGTGGAGAAATGAGTTTTGTCTTAAGCCATGTCATGATGACAACATGTTTTGAAAACTTTTACCTCCATAGCTTCTTATTAGATATAATATCCACACCGATAATTCTATTTCTATACTCAAATGAAAATATGTGTTCTAGTAAGTAAGACCTACCAATGGTTGCTGATAATTATCTTCACTTGGAGCTTTGGTTGTAAATTCAATTCAAAGGTCATGAGTAACCAGGATTTTTATTTTTCTGTGAGAGGAAAGGGGCTAGGTCTTCGGTGCTACTGGGTCAGTAGTTTGGCTTACTTAGGTACTAGCTGCAGCACACAGCTAGTGTGGTGGAGGAACCTGTTCAGGTGGCACATGTTTTTTTTTGTTTTTTTGTTTTTTTTTTTTTCTTTTTTTTTTTTTTGTCTTTTTCATTTTTTATCGGTACCAGGGATCGAACTCACGACTGCCTGCTTGCAAGGCAGGCGCTTATGCCGCTGAGCTAAATCCCCAGCCCAGGTGGCACATGTTTTGATAGCACTGTTAACCAAAAGGAAAATTATATTGTAACCATTTATTCCATTTTTATACACTGAAGATTCCAGTACACTGAAATATGAATGTTACATACACAGTTCATTAGGTTCTTAAAATGTTATCTCATTTACTGAATATACTCTTTGCAAAATTTTTAATGTCTTGTAAAACATTATTTTAAAAGTATTATTACTGGGCTGGGAATTTAGCTCAGCAACATAAGCATCTGCCTTGCAAGCACGTGGTTATGAGTTCAATCCCTGGTAATGATTTAAAAAAAAAAAAACAAAAATATTATTACTAACATGATTATTAGTATATTCTTTACTCACATAACTAGTATCATGATTTATTATGGACTATAATAAACTGTGATTAAAGTTCATAGTTCTTTTGAACCATGACTATTGATGTTAAGGCTTCCTGTACGCATCTGAAGGAAGCAGTGTCTCAGGGTGCATGACTGCTTACACGTGACTGCACACATGGTTTCCACATGCGTCTCCATTGTCTGCTCTCAGGACAGTAACTGTGAAAGCAGCTGCACGGAGATGCAGCTGCCTGCAACTGCTGCTTTACTGAGGAGCTGGCCTGGCGTAGAGACAGCACGTGTACCCTGATTCTGTTCCCAAAAACACTTTCTTATCTGTCAGATGTTGTGGAAATTTCATAGTGTAATTGTATTTAACAAAATGCATAAATCTATGCAAAAATTATCTTAATTTCCTGCTGTAGGTCATTTACATTTCCTACTATAAGTAACATTGTAATTACTGTATTTTTATCTAATAATTGCAAAAAATTACCTACATTTTTCTCTATGTCATTTTAATTTTCTATTTGAATGGGTTAATGTTAACAGTCACGTGATAGAGGGCAAACCACAGGATCAGCTGAGTGGCACAAACTAGCTATGCAGCGGCTGCACTGTGGGAAACTGGGTCAGTTCGTGCATCAGGCTGTTGAGCAGGACATTTCCCTGAGACTATCCACAAGGCGTACTATTTCAGTTTTCAAACAATTTGCTGCAGACGTCCTTTAATCAAATATACACACTCGAGCTAGGCTACTCGCCCCACCTAGTTGCATCTAAAAGAAGAGCTGGTAAAACTAAAAACAATTGAAAAAAACCCAACTTTCCACTTTACCACTTATTTCCCGAAGACTCTCTTTTTTTTTTTTTTGTCCTTTTCTTTTTTATCAGTACCGGGGATCGAACTCATGACCACACAGTTGCAAGGGAGGAGCTTATGCCGCTGAGCTAAATCCCCAGCCCCATCCCCAAGACTCTTGACTGGAAGGTTGTTATGTGTGAAATCACTGAAAGTGAAGTCCCTATGTCAGTGACTCTCAGTCACTGGAGAATTTAAAACAGTATCATTTGCTAAGTTTGTTATACAGATTCTTAGGCCCTGTCATAAACCATCTGATCTCACAGGAAGGTACTAGTGCTCCATTTAACAGACTTCTCAAGGGGCATAGGTGGTACTGAACCATTTCTACCCTATTATGAACTCAACCTGCTAATGCAGGTAGCAACCAATCCTTGAGATCAAGTGAGACTTGACAGGGAAACCAAGGTGTATACGAGGTGATAAGCTGGCGGTAACTCCTACCCTTACAGAATTGCAGTTCACAGGCACAGAAGGCTGACTCTTAGCACAGTTTTCTTTGGAAATGATGACTTCTACTTTTAGGAATCTTCCTTGGTATGCCATATATATATATACACACATATATATATTATCTTCTAAGAGAGTTTGGTCTAAATATTCTTGAAGTTTCTCCTGGCACTAACCTTCCGCAATTCTAATTACCTCCCTTCTTATAATCTAAGTGTGAGGAAAATTCTGCTGTTTTTTTTTTTGGTCTTTTTCATTTTTATCGGTACAGGGGATCGAACTCACGACCGCCTGCTTGCAAGGCAGGTGCTTATGCCGCTGAGCTAAACCTCCAGCCCCCCCAATTTTTTATTTTATTTTTTTTTGTCTTTTTCGGTTTTTTTTTTTTTTTTTTTTTCGGTACCAGGGATCGAACTCACGGCTGCCTGCTTGCAAGGCAGGCACGTATGCCTCTGAGCTAAATCCCCAGCCCAAATTCTGCTGTTTTGATATGATTTTTAACTTATTGAGTTTGGAGCTGGGGATTTAGCTCAGTGGCATAAGTGCCTACCTGGCAAGTGTAAGGTTCTGAATTTGGGCGCTACTATCAAAAAAAAAAAAAAAAAAAAAAAAAAAAAAAAAAAAAAAAAAAGGAGGAGGAGGAGGAAGGGCATCTTATGGCTACGTTTCCCTCTTTTTGGTGCTGGCAGCTGAACGCAGGGCCTGCCTCCTCACAGCCATGCTCCCTGATCAGACAGCTGCACTCATGTGTGCAGCGGGGCAATGGAGCAAGTAAAGGAACTGCATACTCTGCTACTGCTGTGGGGAACACTGCTTTCGGACACTTTACTCATTTTACATAAACAGCGGGCTGTAAAATCATCCAGAACTGCAATCTGTATGTGTAGTGTACAAGTGCAACGGACAGCCAGAGCAGTACGCTGTTATTAGGGCAAACCACGCCAGTCACAGCATGCGGGCCACTCCCCCCGGGACACATCCCGGCATAAACACGGCTACTTGAGGAAGAGAGCAAACGGGAAAGCTGGACACAGAAGCAACCTGTCACCAGCAGGAGCTTCCTTAGAGTAACAGTGCTGAAGACACTTCACCCGTGAAGCTCTGCATTGTGCACACAGTCTAGTTCAAGGCCCGGTAGAGAGCGGCTGCTGTCTGAAAGTTTGTTGAGAGGACCTTAGGCATTAGAATTCACACACCTTACGTGGTCTCTTATTTAAATAAACATCAATTTCTTTTTTGTCATCTTTACTTCATTAGCTAGTTATATACACTACAGTTTACATAATCTATTATTTAAAATCTTTCAGTAAGCACAGCAATTACAGCATTCAGAGGGGCTGGACTCATTAATTTACTTGGATGAGATTTATTTTGGAATCACATTATCCAAGCAAAGACAGAATACAATTTATGTGACACACATACACAAAAGCAAGAAGTGAGATAAATGTCTGTCTTAGAAGTTTATCAATAATCTCTTATATACACATATACATTCACAAAGTGGTTCAGTATTCTTTTATACAATCCATTGGATGAGGTCCATGGCTGTGAACTCTAAGAGACACATACAAAGAAATCATCGTGACTTTCAATGATCTTTGCTGCCTTCAATTTTAGTATTCTTCAGTTGGGGAGAGAAAGAAGTCCATTTTCATCTGCTGTATCTAAGATTTTACAGATCACTGGAGATTCAACCTAAACAACAACACCATTAAAAAGTTGATACATTGAATACTAATTCATTCTTATTCTGTTGAATAAGTACATTTGCTACATGCATTTGATGTCGCATTGTGGATTACCTACCTGCCCTTATCCACAATTCATGAACTTAACTTGTTTTTAACATGTTTTTATGGGAAACATGGCCATGGTAGTACATGTCATCTGATGCAGTT